TCTCAGAAGAAGGCGTGCAGGCATCAGCCGGCAAAGCCGGCTGGTAAATAAATAAAAGCTGTCTTTTATCAGGTATAGAAATCGGCTCACCTTTCCCTCATCTCTTAGCCAGTTCCAATCCAAACTGCTCAGCATATTAATAAGTCTTTCAGGTATGCCTTGTTTTGATCGGTTGTCGGTTCGACATCTGTATTAACTTTCTCCGAATGCTAAAAGGAGACAAGGCCGCGGAAAGACTTATTAATATGCTGAGCAGTTTGGATTGGAACTGGCTAAGAGATGAGGGAAAGGTGAGCTGATTTCTATACCTGATAAAAGACAGCTTTTATTTATTTATTCATTCAGTATGTTGTGTAAGGCAACGTCAGAAAAAAAAATCACGAAACAATACAGAACCCGGAAAGGAAACTGCAGTGAAAGAAAAGCAACAACAACAACTATGAGACAAGCAGTTGTTTAGTTAACGACTTTCTAAAAGATGCCAAAGAGCCTTGGATGGATGCGGTTTTGTTGAGGCGCAAATAAGCAAGTCCTGCTCTGACAGTGAAAAAATTCGTCTAAGAGTAGTTTTAGGTCTGGGAAAGGTAACTTTCGGTGAGCCCTCCTAGTAATAAACGGAAGGGGATTGTAGAAGGAAAAGCAATCCACGGCGGACTCCTTTCTAAGAAGCCTATGCAGCACACATAAATCAAAGAGGTTACGTCGAGATTGGAGGGTTGGAAGTTCGAAGTACTTATTCCTTACTGAAGCTTTTGGAATCTAGCATACAGAAAACCTCCGCGACGGATAAGTATTAGCTCTGGGAGGAAATTTTCTTATTGCTGATTTTTCCTGCTTCAGGCTATGTATATCACTAAATATCTCTTTCCTCCTCCGTTCATTTATCAGCTTTCAACACCACCGGAAGACTAGTGTTGCCTGTAGCTGTTCGGAGCAGTCTACGAGGTACAGCATCATGATGTGTGAAATGGCGTTGTCAGTACGACTCCCATTCTTCCTCCCCCAAATTTCTCTACAGCTTTCCTCTTTACTGTCCTGCCTACCATCTTCTGAGGTTTTCTCAACTCCCTACCACTTTTCCCAGTTTTCCAATCTTTCCCGTTTTCCACCGAAAAATACCTAGCGGGGAGGGAGGGAGTGGCCAAGTCACTACTCAATCTCTAATTTCAACTATAAGTAGTAGTATATAGTCAGGGCACGCCATTGCGTTGTGATCATTTCCTGAAAAATACGACCCCCCCCTAATTCCATCTTCAAGTACGACCCCCCCCCACGTTACCTCTTCCCTAGATTTTTCCAACCTCCTACCACTTTGTCTATTTTTTCCCAAAAATTTCTGGTTTTTTTACAAAATTTTGCTGTCGAGCGGGGGGGGGGGGTCGCAGTACCTACGTACGTCCCAAGCACGTCCAGCACTCTGGCGCTGGTGTAGCATACTGACAATACGTACGAGGAAGGGGCGATGATAGGAGCTACGATCACCGCCCACAAGGGCCCCATGAATTTATAAACAAACAAGAGGACTCACGACGTGACGATTAATAAACAGATGAAAGTACATTCCCGGACTTTTCTGATCGTAGGAGCACATTTGCTTGCAATTGGGAAGCCCTATCTAGAAGTTACACCTTTCAAACACCTGCGTGAAAGCCCCATGCATGGCGCATTGCATATGTGATGCCAATTGGCGCCCAATGGCCTATTACCTGATATGCTTGACGAAAACATGTGTTTCAGAAGCATACCAAAGTCTTCGAGCCAACTGGAGGTTTCCTGGCCTCGGAGGGGTTGATTTTTCGGTGTCGTGGGGGGTGATTACAAAATGATCACAACGGGGAATTTTTTCGAATAGTAGGTCTAGGAAGGAAATTAAAACCTTGCTGGAAAGTAGAAATCTTCAAGCTTCCGGCACAGTTCTTTTTTTACGAAAGGCCGTGTATGAAGCTTGCCATGGACGTCCAAAGCGTAGCGACTCGCGGTTCGCAAAAATGATCACAGACGGATCACAACGATGATCACAACGGGGAAAATCTCTGGAATCGGAACGTTTTTGAAATCGCTCAATTCAGGTGACAAGAGCCAACCTAGCTCTACTCATTCCCACTTACCCCTCTCCGATAGCTTCACTTTCAACGAAGTTATGGGTGTTCAAATGAGGGGTACTTTTCACGTGTTTGGCTTGAAATTGGCTCCAAACCGTAAAATAGCGCGCACCAATGCGCTTGTATGAGCGCGCTGACCGCGAACAGCCAAAATTCAAAAGTAATCCATAGTTCCGGTTCCCAGCTGAGCGGTGAGTTTTTTCTTATCCATTTTATTGTGAATTACTTTGATTTGTTTTTGTTGAGTTTGATTTTGTTTTGTTGAGTTTGATTTTGTTGTGAGGAAATTGCTCAGGATTCAATTTCTACGGTTTCATAGGTAGCTTTTGCAATGGATTCTTTTCTAGATTTTGCGGATTAGTGGATTGGGATTTATCTAGACCAGATGAGGAGGGTTGGTGGGCGAAGTGTCTTGTTTTTTGTGAGGAAGGAGGAAAAAGTTTCAGCAATATTTTTTTAGTTCTTGGCCTAGGAATAGTTCGATAGTGCCTAGTTCTATTTATTGTCATCTACATCGTCCCTTTTGAGCTTCTTTTCACTTGTACCGTGTATCACCGCTCTCTCCACTTCAACATGGGCCATGCGTTTACGACCCCCCCCCTCCATCGCGGGCAAATACGACCCCCCTGTTGTGATGATCACAAAGATGGCGTGCCCTGATGGTAGTTCTGCGGCGCCTTTATCTCCATGGGATGGGATGGGGAGAGGAGAAGTGCTGGAGGAAGAACTCTCTGCAGTGCTAGAACATGCTCTTTCCTGCATTTTCAAGCGTTTTTACAGAAAGCACTGCATCACGTCTACAGAATACTTGAGCTCGAACAACCATACCAACTTTTCTTGCTTGACAAGTAGGCCGCCCACTTCCAACCTTGCAAAGTATTACTATTGCAACGTACTTATTCATTTTATTTTGAAATGTTTCTTAGAGTTAAGAATAACCGAAAAGAATGTAAAGCAGGAATATAGGCTTCCCTTAGTAAAGGTATTGCTGTTTGAACAAGTAGGCCGTCGGTTTTTGTAACTTCCGGCTGAGTTCTCATTTTGAAGCAGGAAAGAGAGAAAAGCGTATGTAACAAGATTCGCCTCATAAACTTGCAGCCTCATGGAAGTATGGCCCGCAGAAAGTTTACGCATATCTGTCAAGATCTTTCATCTCTTCACATTTCTCGAAGCTGCTTGGTCCAACAACTGCATTAGATGGGAGGCAAAAAAATGAACCCTAGTTTACATTTACCTGCACATATCCTGTTTCTTACAGATTCCTAAATTAGATCGGTGGAGGCATGAGCTAGGCTCACTGATAGCGTCAGGTGCCTTCGATAGCAATCGCAATATTCTGTTCCTGGCACAGCTGCTCAACGGCGACCAAAAGGTAGTGGCTCCTTTTTCATATGTTGTTTTATATGTTTCTTAACGACTTTTTGAGAATTTGGAACGTGCCGCGGCTGTTGTTGTTACGGAATGGTGGCATCTGATGCCTTTTTACACTTTTGTGAAGGATCCTACTGCTGCATACAACGAATTGGGTCCCATTGCTTTGGTGAGTTCTTACCTTATTCTCTCATACTGCTACTAATGGTATATGTAAAACAATCAGAGTTGACGATATATGTGGTTTAAGGAGTGCCGGAACTTACTGAAGGATGGTGAAGATCGTGGAGATGGAGAGTTTGATCCTTTTCTTTCAATTTTGTGCATGAAGGATGTCTCCGTGTTGCAGGTAATACTGTTACTCTTCTGGGTTAGTTAAGTTCAAAGTGCTCCCTTACAGAATTTGATATCTAATCCCTGGCTGTCTGTCCATCTTATTGAGTTGTTATTGCATACGGACTCAGAGTACGCCAACCTGCCGGCGCTGGTCGAAATCAGAGACTTTCTCCTAATGGAGTACGGTTCCGGTCTGATTCAAAATAGTTGGTGAGTTGATATCCATAGTTCAACTACAATAACGTCAAAGTAGGGTGTTACATGGCGGCAGTTGTCAATTTCATCAATATTTGTGTGCTTCTTCAGTGCTGCATAGTCATAAACGAGAATAAATATGCTGCGCTATTTTGTTTGCATGAGATCACTCAGAAATCTGTCAGTTGCACAGTCCACCTAGCAAAATCACTCTTTTCAGCTTGTGGGAGGTCGGTGCTGATTACTTGTTGCACTGCGGTTCAGAAGGGAGACTGCGTTTGGAAAGCCACATTGAAGCAATGTACATCCAAGACGATGAGATGGCTGAAAATGTAAGTTCTGTTAGGGTATTGCTTGGACCATGTAGCTCTGACACCCATAGTCATAACTTTCAGCTCATGCGGATTTGTATAGAACAAGAGCTGGATGACTCCAAAGCGTGCATCGTAAATACCATGACTTACAGGTGAAATTAAAATTAGTAGGAAACATCGTTAGTGATGGCCAAACTTCATAATGGTGAACTTTAGGTATCTGCGTGATGGAGAATGGAGCGCAGCTTTGTCTTGGGCATTGCGAGGAGGAAGGGGTGCCGCGTTGGATACTGCTGTGAACAGGTACTGTGCTTCTTTTGGGCTTGTATGAGATGTCTTAGTGGTTTCAGTGGCCCACCTTCCGGTTTATTTACTTTCGCGACCCTGTATAGTGAGCACAATAACTTATACAGTCGGTGACAGCACCCGTGATTGGCCAGCGTGTAGAAGTGTTCCATGGACCCGGTAGGCGCAGCGGTGTCCCACTTCCGCAGCTCGAAACTACCCAGTATCGGGGGCGGGGCTTTGCCACGATTTATGGCCTCCTTTAATTCCTTGATGACCTCCACCCTAAGCACGCTGTATAGCAGTGGGACCTCCATCACGTCTTGTTTAAACTTCTCTAGGCCCAGTTTCTCCTCGCGATGTATTCCTGTGGTGCATAGATTCAACAGTGGTCTCATTTAGAGCGTTTTCCCCCGTTCATCCGCTCTGTTCTTCGAGATTATTCCTTTCACCTCATGATCCATTGATATTGAGCTTCACACAGCTCCTGGCGAAACGCGGATTCGCGTGATTTGGATAGATGGATAATAACGCGCCTCAGCGGAACAAAATCAACTTTCAAAGCTATCAATATGGCAAATCTGTCCATCACTTAGTGTACAAAGTGTTTTCAAAGAACAATGTTCGGGTGTTCAGGATAGTCTGGCATGCTGAAAAGGACGAAATCGCCTCGTTGAGGCATGTTGGAGGTCAATAATGGCTTACTGTATGTGGCGGAACTTGGGGATCAGCCGATCTCTTGCATTCGCTGTTTCAACTACTTAATCTGTTCACAGGTCACTCAAGTGCGGTCGATGTGGGCGCTCAGTGATTGCACCAGTGAGGTTTTGAATGACATTTTGAGCCGTAGGGGTATGGCTGGTTGGTCTCAATGATAAGATCTGATATTCATCTCTAGAGATGTGAGCGTACCAAGCCTGATTCTCCTGGAAGTTGAAAGAGCAATTTTTCAGTCATAAAGGCAAAAGTTATTGAGTTTCATTTCTGCGTTTGAGCGAGTGTGTGGGGAGCCTTTGCTGTAATAGGATCGGGTAAGAGCGCGCCGGACACCAACCCAAGATATCACTTGATTCAAACGGATGAAGGCCTCAGGTGTCTGGTGCTGCGTCCAGTTTCGCTGTGAGCCAAGAGTGTCAGTCGTCGATAGTGCGAGGTCTCTAAAACGGTGGAATAGCATCTAGTGTTGTGTTGTTCTCAGCTCCGTCATTCAGTAACCTTTCAAGTGCTTCTTTTCGGTTAGTTTTATTGTGTGTCTGCTGACGGACATGAAAAGTCTTTGAAAGGACACTGGACTCAGATCGAGCGATGTGTGAATCTCACTCCATTATCGACCTAAAGTCAGGGTTCCTTCGAAGTAATTTCGTAGCTGTGAAATTGAACAATAATGGCACTGGTTCCATTATCGATCATGATCCTGAACAGTAGTGGGCTGGTTCCATTATCGATCATGGTCCTGAACAGTAGTGGTGCTGGTTTCGTTTGTTTCTTGAACAATAATACTGCTGCTGCCAACTGTTATTAATCCATTTCAGTATAGTTAAAGGGCGTTTAACAGCTCATTTTAGCTTTTTCCAAAGTTTTTTTGAAGATTTAAAGATTTGTTTTCTCAGCTGCTTGTTTCGATGATTACTTCACCGAATGTGCCGCAAAAATTCCACAAGGTTCTCTTTGGATATCTCATGTTAATACTCGCCGACACTCCACAGGGTTAGGGCTGTTTTTTTGAGTTCGGTTCTCGCATGTCTGGCTAGCAGGCATGAGCGTGGCGATAGGAAGATGGAGTTCAGTGGGTTGGTGGGAGGTGGCTAAATTCCTGCGAAGGAAACCATTGTCGTACTGAAGTGTGATAGTCTGGTCTTTGGGTTGGGTGGGGGGGGAGTGGCCGCTCGGTCAGTGAAATAGGGGGGATGTTCGTAGTTGGACAATGCGATGATGGAAGAGGAAGATGGAGGTGCAGTGGCCGAGACGTACACGGGGTTGCGGAGTGAGAATTAAGGTTCATCCGAATAGTTTTTCAGTGTTACTCAGTTTTTCAGTGTTTGCTCTCTGTGAAGTTACATGAGTTTTTCAGATTCGATCCCTCAAACTTCTTTTGCTTACGAGGTTAGCCGAAGCAGAAATAGCCACTGCATGTGCGTCATGACGAGAACTCGTGTCTTCGTGATCTCAAATCTTCGGTTACAGCGTCAGAGCTCCATTTGTTAACGTGATCTGTTAAGATTATTATTGGAATACGTGTGTTAATTCTCTTTCTCGATGATGTCCTACATGGTACTTGTATTAATGAAGATTTATGAGAAATTTTTTTCGAGTGTACTTTGAAAATCATAGAGATGAAATCACGAACTATCTCGCAGACTTACAACTGTTCTTTGCTCGGATCGCCTGTTTGTCTTGCGCTCTCCCTTCTGCCTCACATATTACGTTTCGTCGTCGGCCAATCTTTCGGGTGCACTCACATATGAGCAGGAGGGCAATCATTTCACGTGACATCAAAGTACACCACTTGGGGTATTTTTTACCTTGCGGGTCATCAGTCCATTGTAACCTGTTTTATTGGATTGCGTCGGGCTCATCCTATCTCAAATACGTTCCTCTCTCAACCGGCTTAGAACTAAAAAGCTTGTAAAGTTTTCTCTTCACTTTGGAGATCAGATCATTTACTCAACTTTCAAGAGGTTAATTCTCAAGTCTCTTATCTCGAGTTTTCAGATGATTCCACGGAATATGCGCAACCTTTCTTCCAGCTTGCTGCGGATATTCAAACGGCGCGGTCACTCCTACTGTGTTGACCGTTGGTATTTCTTTTGATTTTGTCCGCTTTTCATCGTATCCTTCGTTCACGTAAAACCAAAGAAGTTTCTAACTAAACGTAATAAATAAATATGCAGTTTTTTGAAATTGTTTCTCGAAGTGCATTACTGGAGCTCATTAAAAGCGGTGACGTTCAGGAAATAGTGTCGGCCTTGCTAGAGACTCAAAATGGCTGGTTGCAGGGCACATCATCGTTGGAAATTCCACAACAGGGAGGGAGTCGTATTTGGTTTCTTGGGGAGGCGGGGGGTCGTGTTTAGTCTAAAGAAAAAAGATTTGCAGTTGATTTTTCTTGTTTCAGCACCATATG